GGGGCGGGACGTTGTCCCCTTCGCGGCCGGGGCTGTGGGGCTGCCTCCCCGAGCACGGCTCCAGATGCTAAGCGGGAGGTGGGGGAAGAAGCTGGCTCGGTCGGAAGAGGCGCAGTTCACCGCTGAGCGCCATCCCCCGCGCCCCCCCTGCCCGCGAGCAGGCGTTGGCTGGCGGGCGTTGACTGTTGGCCCACGGTAACGGCCAGCCCCTGGTAACCCCCTGTAAACTCCCAGAGAACTGTACAAGATTCGTCCTGTTGGTGCGAATCTCGGTACTCAGGCTAGCGGCAATTTTATTTTGAATGTGGGGAATGGAAGAAGAGAAGCGCTGACATTCCCCTGTCTGTTGATCCCAAGGGCCGGGATGGGGAAGGAGTCTTTCATGCGGAGATGCGTCTCTGGAAGTGCAGTTGTTTGAGCAGAAAAATACACTGCCATTTAAGCATCCAATTTCTGGTATTTAGATCTGAACTCAAGATTTCAGGTGTCTGGAAACTCCTGGTTACATAAATGCTGCTTTGCGGCAGTGTTTTGTTTTCCTATTATTTGTAAACAGTAAAATTCATAAAATCACCTGGAGTCCAGAGGAAACGAAGCCCATGCGACCGCATCTGCATGCTCCTGCCTCCCTTTCTGTCTCTACTGACTTCGATGCCGTTGGGCAGTTTCAGCCGCGTTAGAAAGAAGGGTAGAAACTTCAAACTTTGGTAAAACCAATACCTGGGGGGTAGGGAGAGACACAGATCAGTGCTCCCTTAGGTAACAGGCGGGCAGAACTGAGATGAGATGGATAATATTACAGAGATTTAGCTGCAGCCGGCTGGTGGATTAGTACATACGTAGTTCTGGACTTGCCAACCCCAGCTCACGCTTTTCTGCTACTGGAGAGTGCGTGAGAGGACTTTGGCGGAGCGTCTGGTTATTGCAGCCATGGAGGCGGAGGGGAACAAACATAAATGCAGAGGTATCCAGGCTCTCAGAACCACTTGCTCCATGTTTTCATTTGCAGTAATCAAACTGCATTATTTTTATTGAAAGACGGCAGAGTACTAGGGTATTGCAGGTTAACTTGTCCCTTCTAAATCCAGATGGAGTATCTAAAGAATTTCTTTGCTGTGTGTAAATATCATGAGGTGAGAAAAATAGTAGGGAAATAAGCTTTGGTGTCAAGAGAGGATTGAGTGGTATGTCTGGGGTTTGTGTCAACATTTAATTCACAACATACCATCTGCTAATCTGGTAGCTATTGTTTTGGCAGCATATGCCACACAGCTGATTTTGTTTGGAAGCCATTGAGTAGAAAGAAAGTCACTTTTGAGCAAAAGTTCCTGCTCTTGTTTTGATGTTTGTGTAATTGAAAGAAGCCAATACAAGGTTTTTGCATACACTTTGGTTTTTGGGAAGGTAGCTTGGTTTTCTTGAGGGAAGGGGGAGTTTTTACAGTACTGCAGGAGATGTTCTGCATGCAGCTCCCAAGTAACTGACACATTGTATATGGGAATGCAAAACATTTACATCACCGCACTGAGAAGTAGACTCGCTTATTAGCATGTGCACCACTTCCCAGCAGTTACTGTCATTAACTGACCCCACCCGCACAGATAAAACTTCTGACCCAAAGTCAGCCAGGGTCATAACAATATTTTCCAGATCGTGGTAGGATGGGTTTATGCCAAAACAAATTTGCCTGATAATGGTGGCGAGGATTGCTAGGCTGCTGCTAGTTCTCTAGTACTTCCCATATTTCTTATAAAGGACAGGTAAGTCCCAGACATCACTGATGGGGGAAGAAATCATACACAGTACAAAGAGCACCATCAGCTAGAGAGGAAATATTCACTATATGAAGAGTTGTGGGATAAGGCTTTATGTGTAGAAAGAGAAGAAGCAGAGAGGTACTTAGAAACGAGATTGGATTTTGATGCGAGTGCTGGTACTCAGTGTACATTGAGCAGGTATTGACGAACCAGATTAACTCTGCAGTGAAGAAAAGCTTGGACTGCTTACTGCTCCTAGTTTTGCTTTATGACTGTGGGAAAGCATCTTATTTTGTCTTTAATGTGAATATTTTGTTGCTATTATCTGACCCAACAGGATGTTGAAATGCTCAATCCATCAAGGCTTATAAAGTTGTCTGGCATCTTTTTATAGAAGAGACTCTATAAAGGGTAGAACTGTAAACATCTGTGGTATTTCCGAGTCATCCATCATCTTAATATCCGAGTATCTCTGCTGAAAAGTTACCACACAACCCCCCACCCTTTTCCAAACCAAAGGCTGTTACTGAGACTTACTTTCCCTTTAAATAAATTCCTCTGGGATTCCGCATTCAGTGTTGTGCTGTATGCCGTGGCCATTCAGAACTTAATAGGAGTTTCTGCTCTTCTTGAGACTCTGCATTCTCTTGTCGTTTGAGCTGCAGAAGAGCCTCTGCAGGGAACAGAGCAAATCTGATGCTGTGTCCCGCAGACGTCGTTAGGATGCGATAGGCAGCCTAATGCAGTCCGGGCGGCAGCAGCGTGCCTCCACGTCTTTGCTGATTCACCTCACAGCTCCTGCTTATTATTTCAAGTACCGCACAGGAACAGAGCTTCACGTTGTCTTCAAAATAAAGATAGGATGCCTCAAGCTACCGATAAACTTAGCCCTGCTTTAGAGACACGCAGTTACAGAGCTATTGGGGACACAAAAAATTCTTTTTGCATCAACGTTGGGACTTCAGCACTGGTATGACTTGTCAGGAGAGGGGCAACTTCCATCACGTGTTCGTAACGGTTTTCATACATGAGTGTCTAGTGTGTATTTGCATTCCTGTTTTGCCTGACTTTTACAATGTTTTATACACTGTGAGTTTCATGTTATTTTAATTAGAGTTGACAGTCGGGGCTTTTTTTGTCCTGAACAAGTCTGGAGGAGAAGGGAAAGGAAAAATTAGGAATTACAAGTACTTCCTCCACCTTACTCGCAGCTAATGGTGAGGGGAACAATTATTGCACTGCGGCATCAGAAACAGTATTGCCATATTAAGGATGTAAATGCAGAAGAAGAAACAAACAGCTCTCCAGCTAGACAGAGGGGGCATTGAGAGCTTTCTGTCTGGTTGTTGCTCAGCTCATGTCAGTCTCAAGAGCCCTTATGCTGCTTTTCAGCTGCTATTGCACGTTTGTATTGTTCCCATTGAAAGAAAGCAGAGTTTTCAGACAACAGCATGCAGTGGCTGGGACCCTGCCACCGACAACCCAAAACAGTTTTAGGACAATGTGCATTTTAAAAACAAAAACCTGTTAGACTGAATCTTCTGTGTTTCATAACATTATGTATATGTCTTCTATAACACTTGTTAGCCAGCTGTGTCTCTGAGAGACAAACAAATCACCCAGCTGTGCTTTCCAGCAAAGATTAAAGCAATTGTTATTCTTCAAATACTGATCAAGCTTATAAATCTTTTTAACTGAATGCAATATGGAAGGGAAAAGGCGCTTTGTTTGGTTCTACTTCCATTAATGAATGGGTAAATTGTTTCCAACTGGGAACAGAATAATATCAAAACCTAAAGCATCCCTCTGGAAAGAAAAAGCTAGTTTCTACTGAAAAGGAAGAGCAGAGAAACAGTTACAGCACTGAATTTGCTCACTACAACAATACACAGACAGATACCTTAGAGTGGGGTTTAAAGACAAACTTGAGCTAAGCTAAGACTGCACCTCCAAAACGGAGGGGACAAGGGGAGACTTGTTTTCCCTTGCGGTTGCTGTGGCCTTCCTTGCGTGAGGACTCGGAATTGCTCAGCCTCGGAGTAC